CGGAGCCTTCAGACACCTGAGCAGCAGGAAGGACAGAAAGGTCGGAGGTCATACTCACTGAAGCCAACCATCCTGTCGGGGACCTTGTAATCCTCTGTGATTACCCTGCTGCAACACACACACACACACACACATTAACATCCCGCTCACAGCGTGTGTGTGTGTCAATAAGTGATTATGATTATGACTGTAGGAGGACCGATCTATAAACACTTATCTACTGTTACAGCCAGCCCGCGCACACACACACACACAGACACACACTTGCAAACTATGAAGCTGAACACACGTCATTATCTGTGTTTAATCAATATGAACTGCTGCTCGTACCTTTGATGCCCCATGGCTGCTAGCTGGTTACCTACTGAGAGACAGAGACACACATTAGACTGATCTGATGGAGCTGCTGAACTAACAGTGAGTCTACAACAATACAACACAGAAGAAGAAACACGCTTCCATAGCGAGCTGCGGGGGGGGGAGTTAGCGTCGTCCTGGTTCCTTCCACAAACAGCTGATGGGATTATTCCACTGGGTTCTAGTTTAGGATGATTCAGGAAGATAATCTTCACTAACAAACTCACCTTACATCATTTCTGAAGGCCTATAAATGAACTACACCACGGTCACATGACTTCACCACCAAACTTCCAACTTGTAATTAAATAGCTCAGGGTTAAAGGTTCTAGGTCAGGTCTAAAGGTTCTAGCTCAGGTCTAAAGGTTCTAGCTCAGGGTTAAAGGTTCTAGGTCAGGTCTAAAGGTTCTAGCTCAGGTCTAAAGGTTCTAGCTCAGGGTTAAAGGTTCTAGCTCAGGTCTAAAGGTTCTAGCTCAGGGTTAAAGGTTCTAGCTCAGAGTTAAAGGTTCTAGCTCAGGTCTAAAGGTTCTAGCTCAGGTCTAAAGGTTCTAGCTCAGGTCTAAAGGTTCTAGCTCAGGGTTAAAGGTTCTAGCTCAGGTCTAAAGGTTCTAGCTCAGGTCTAAAGGTTCTAGCTCAGGTCTAAAGGTTCTAGCTCAGGTCTAAAGGTTCTAGCTCAGGGTTAAAGGTTCTAGCTCAGGTCTAAAGGTTCTAGCTCAGGGTTAAAGGTTCTAGCTCAGGTCTAAAGGTTCTAGCTCAGGGTTAAAGGTTCTAGCTCAGGGTTAAAGGTTCTAGCTCAGGTCTAAAGGTTCTAGCTCAGGTCTAAAGGTTCTAGCTCAGGGTTAAAGGTTCTAGCTCAGGGTTAAAGGTTCTAGCTCAGGGTTAAAGGTTCTAGCTCAGGGTTAAAGGTTCTAGCTCAGGTCTAAAGGTTCTAGCTCAGGTCTAAAGGTTCTAGCTCAGGTCTGACAGTCTCTGCAGTTTCTGTTGAATTATTTATTTTACTGTTAAACTCTGTTGGTTCTAATTATTATCGTGATGTTTGTGTATAAATTATTTTTGGACACAAATCCTCTCTGGCTTCATAGTCAGTGATAATAAATAATCAGAATTCATCCTGACTCAACATCGTCACACTCAACCCGTCTGTGGATTCAAACCAAAACCGAATACCAAACTAATAAAAGAATGTAGTCAAACATGGCAACAGCTCGGCCTTCTGGGAAATTCAAATACAGACATCCAGGAAACTGTTCAAAATTCAAATCGAGACTGAAATAGAAAAAACAAAAACACTGATGTGCAGATAGATGATTGTATACATATATCCTGTAGTTCAGGATAATATCAATAAATATGTGTTTGATTAGCTCTGCAGCAGCATCAGTGTGAACAGGTCGACTCTGGTTATCTGCTCTTCACTCAGATATTAATGGTTGTCACATGATTTTCTAAAATTGCTTTTTGCAACCAAAAACCAAAGAGGGTTGCCTGTCGGGGCGTCCTGGTGACTCCAGATAACCTCGAGCACATTGGTGGCACCAAATTACCCACCTGCCCCGGGGAGGTAGTGACATAAATTAACAATACAGGATTCTTTATAGACGCGTAAGTGGAATACGACACTTTAAATCCTTTAACGAGGACAAGTTGGAGTAATTCCAGCTGCAGTAGTGGACAACTTTATTAAAGTTGAAAAGCTCGTAGTTGGAACTCTGATTGAATCGACGTCTGAGCTACCGTCTGTCCCGGAGCCCGGTTTAATGGAGTGTTTATCAAATTACACAAAATATACACGTTAAATAAACTAGCTCTAATCGTGACACACACAGTGACGTCCGGTCGTCTGTCCATACTAAAAGAAACAACGTTCTAGCGGCGCCTCGAATGGTTCCGCTGCCGCCAGGTCAGACTAACCATCGGTACACTTGGTGCAAGTTCCTGGACGAGACGTCTGAAAGTAGATACACTGTGAAGCTGCTGTCGACCGACTGTTCCTCGCACTACTAACGGTTTCTGTAGGAGGTCAGGAAGTGTTTCTGTGATCAGCTGATTTCTGTGTAATCTCTAAAGGAACAGACATTTTCTGTTGGACTGGAAAAACAAACTGAACTGTGTGAACATTAAGAGAGGAGTATTTGGTTTGTTTGCTAAATTAATGTGGATATACACTCAGTGTGGTATTTGTTTTAAGGTATTTTCCTCAGAAAGGTTGTATGTGTCATTACATCACATACAACCTCCCACCCGTCACTCCCTCCTCCTCACCTCCGTCCTCTCCTGGCCGCTTCTGGCCGGGGTAATACAGCGATGGCTCGACACTTCCTGAGGAGCTGTTGAGGTGAGACATGGCTTCTCCGCCCATCTTCCCCACCATCTGAGAGACAGACAGACAGAGAGAGAGACAGCTGTAACACCTGGAACTTTGTTGGATGTTTGTTACTGAAACAGAGAAACTTCACTCTCCCCGAGCACCACGAACATGTCGGGTACTTTTGTTTTCCTCCACATTAAATGAATGTCCGTCCGCGGCTGTGAGGTTTAAAATGTTCGGCTCATAGAAAGCTCGTAGGAAATCTTCCTGAACAACAGCTGATGTTCTGGTTTCACTGCGGTCGCTGCACACACACCCTGAAGCTGCAGAAATAATACCGCAGCAGCTTCACTGGAGACGCATTTAACTGACGAAACAGGAGTCGACTTTTATTGTGAAGTAAGCTAGCCACAGGAAGTGAGCAGTGCACTGTAATCACAAAATAATCGTGATTCAATATAACTCAAAATAATCAATAATCGACTTCGGATTAAGATCATTTTGGCCACAATCATGCAGCTTTAGGGTTGGGGAAAAACAAAATTTTTTTTTTTTTTGTTTTTTTTTTTTTTTCGCGCCCACGGGGTTTTTACACCCCCCCCCCCGATACTAGCTGCTAACTAACCTCACCTTGGTCTCACACACACACACACACACACACACACACACACACACACACACACACACACACACACACACACACACACACGTCTTCATTATAAAGAGAAGAGCAGCAGAAACACTTCAGCAGCTCTTTAACGTTCACACAATCTGAATCACTGCTACCCTTCACACCTGTTCACACCTGTTCACACCTGTTCACACCTGCTCTGACTCAGTAAAATCTCAACACTGATTTAAGCCAGGAGGGAGATCCTTTACATTAAACCCAGCGCTCCCAGTTTCTCTTGATCAGATCCTGATGCTGGTTCTTTACAATCAATCAATCAATAATCAATAAGAGTAATGATCAATAAGACGTCAGTGGAGGCTGCGGCTCAACAGGTGGTCTAATTATTTTAATGCTCAACATAAAGTTCCTTAACTGTGAAGGTTGTGTTTTATATCACATTGAAAACTTTAAGTTTCGTCTGTTTGTCGGAATCAGAGCTGAAATATAGAAACTGGAGTTTTATTAGATCATTTTAAATTAATCAATTGTGACATAAAAATGATAATTCCCATAATATTTCTACCTTAATAGCAGCCACTAATAAATCTGTCGCTAAGACTTTTGTTTTTGTGGATTAATGACTTTTTCAAAATGGCTGCCAGTTAATTTTCAGACATTTTAACAACGTCAGGTTGAATATTAGAGGCGGACGAACGTAAACGTAGAAAAACAGAACTTAAAACGAAAGAAAAGATAAACAACAACTTTAATATTGCTTCATTTTCAAAACTGAATATGTTTTTAAAAAAACACTAAAAACTGACTTTAATCTGAGATTTTTCTCAAATGTTCTTTAACAGCAACTGAAATTAAAACCAGTATATTATATATAATAATATTAGGGACGCTCGATATTGGCTTTTCTGCCGATATCCGATATTCCGATATTGTCCGACTCTCAGATATCTGCAGGCTTTTATTGTCTATCTCCTGTTGTGGTATTAACACATTGTGACTCATTGTATTGTGATGCCCCACTGGATGCATACATAAATGCAACATTTCCAAATGTAAACACTGTCTGTGTAAAATAAAACTTCAACTTTCACTGTATTAATACTGAGAAGAGCGCTAACGCTAATCGCTAGCTTTGGTTAATGTGTTTAATTGTATTATTCACCTGAAGGAGTGCTAATGTAAACTCTGAGCCAGTCGTTAGTTTGGTTAAGGAACAGCTCAGAGCAGGGTCAAATATTTAAGGTGCATTGAACTTTTATTTTGTGTTAATATTAAAATAATTCAGCTTTAAATTGTTTGCTTGTTAGCCACGGTTAGCAACCAACCAGTCTAGCTGTAGTTGTTGTTGTTTACGTCGTCTAGCGAGCGCCAGTAAACGTCCCACGCTGCGTTCATGCAGGCTCGGAAATGCTGAAGCCTTCAGAACAAACATCGGTTATAAAAACCCGATACCGATAATTCCCGATATTACATTTTTTAGTGAATATCGGCCGATAATATCGGACATCTCTAATAATAATATATATTCATTCGATATATCGCTATGGTTACACAATACGGCAAAAACTGAATATTGTCATTAATTTGACAGATATCGCGATTGATTCACGATCATTGTTACTACTAATATTTCACAATGTTAAAATCAACAAATATATTTTATTTATAATGTTGGTCACATTTTACCTTCATTGAAAACCTGCAGCTCTTGTGATTTAAGAATATTATGGTTTGTTGCGCCTTTAGCTTAACTGTCGCTATCAAGGCATCAATAACGGCGACTTACAAAACTTCATAAAATACGAAACATCGCGTTGTGAACGAGGAAGATTCTGCACATTACAGCCGACTAACGCTGGTGGGCTGTTTGTACGAGAGGTGCTTTATAAATAAAATGCCTCGTTGGTGCACGTTCCTGGTGGACCGCGAACGCCGGATTTCTACCGTTTCTACCGTTTCTACCTCGCGATCGCAGAAAGACGAAATCACTGCTGCTGTGATCAGTTTCCAGAGTTTAAGTGTCTGATCTGATTCTGAAACTGCACTTCCTGGTTTCTGTTTCTGTTTCTCTCTACACACACACACACACACACACACACACACACACACACACACACACACACACACACACACACAGTCGATGGTTGTTGACACATTGTTACCGTCCACTGTTTAGATCTTGGTGCTTTTTAACTCTAGATTTGTTGTCTGACTGTTTTCACTCAGTCAACTAGTCTAAATTTAAATTTCTGTTCAATTTGCAGCGAAATTTAGTTGCTAAGAACATTTGTAGTAGAAACATGGCGGTCCAACATGGCGGTCCAACATGGCGGACTCCACCAGAAGAGGACCCGCTCCCTCTGTAGATAAAAACGTCTCATTGTAACAAACACAGTGATTCTTATTATCAGCTGATTAAACACTAATGAACACAAACCTATAGATATATTATTATAACCTGCATCAACCACAGCGCTGACGCAGGCACAAAGAGGACGCCATTGATTATAGATTATAGATTAGATCTCCATATAGAGCTCCAGACTTTATACACTGTGTTTAATGTGGAAATGTTACAGATTATAAATTTAAAATACAGACACTTGCTCAGTGACGCTGTAGGTTTCTAACGTTGTTTCTGGACGTGCAGAGGTCAGAGGTCAGAGGTCAGAAATGAGTAAGAATGCAGAATATCTGTATTTCCTGAAGGAAATAAATAAGGAAATTGATTATTGGCCTTCACCAAAACTTATAAAATAAAGTTAATATCATTATTGTTACTATTATTTTAATCAAATAGACACTACAGACCTCTGCCCTGTATCTAAAGCACTGACCCCTGCCCTGTACCTACAGCACTGACCTCTGTCCTTTTCACTGTAAATTAGGAATTATGTGTAATGATTATAGATTATTGATTGAACCAGCTCCATATAAAACATAGCTCTAGAGTTTATACATTGTGTAATGATTATAGATTATAGATTATTGATTGAACCAGCTCCATATGGAACATAGCTCTAGAGTTTATACATTGTGTAATGATTATAGATTATAGATTATTGATTGAACCAGCTCCATATGGAACATAGCTCTAGAGTCTATACACTGTGTAATGATTATAGATTATTGATTGAATCAGCTCCATATAAAACATAGCTCTAGAGTTTATACATTGTGTAATGATTATAGATTATTGATTGAACCAGCTCCATATGGAACATAGCTCTAGAGTTTATACATTGTGTAATGATTATAGATTATAGATTATTGATTGAACCAGCTCCATATGGAACATAGCTCTAGAGTTTATACATTGTGTAATGATTATAGATTATTGATTGAATCAGCTCCATATGGAACATAGCTCTAGAGTTTATACACTGTGTAATGATTACAGATTGGAGCTTTGATGTCCTGTCTGTGTGAGTGACTACCTGTCTGTCTCTCTATAGGAAGCAGACACACCTCCGCTGGCTGTATATGGCTGTGTTGCATAACCACAGCCTAGTTTCTAACCAACTTACAGTAAACAGCAGCCTATAGGGGGAGGGGGGGGCTCCTGGAAGAGGCTTTAATACAGTCTCAACTCGCTGTTTCTGCCTCGTTACCGCAGTAAACTTGGACCCAGTTGTCCTCGTCCTCTCGGGCTTTTTCACCGTGTTTCTGTCTCGCAGCCCAACAGGTTGTCTCCCTCCTCACTGACACGTGTGGCCAAACTTCTGTCCTCTCTCCCCCCCCACCCAACCCCCGGTCCCACCGCGCTCCCCTCCGGGTGACAGCTCCACAAACTGCCCCTAAACTACCTCCAGCTCGGACAAAGTGTACAAAACCGGCCACAAGTCCAACTCCGAGCTGCTTTCCGCGCTAGTTAGCATGCTAGTAGTGTGAGTGTGTGTGTGTGTGAGTGTTGACGGAGCGCATAAGTTAGTTAGCAGCAGCTCAACACGGACCAATTCGAATAAAAGTGCTTTGGCTCGATTTAAACGGCCCGGTTCGGCCCGGAACGGGTGTGTGCTGAACCCCAGTGGAGTTGTTACCTGCCGGGCCCTCTGTAAAACATCGGCTAGGCCGTCTGACTTCAGCCCCGGCTGGTTCATCGAGGCCTGTCCCTGCACCAGCTCCGCCATCATAGCGCCACTAGCTAGCCGTTAGCTGTTAGCTGTTAGCAGGATTAGCTCGGGCTGCTAACTGAGCTGAGAGCAGAGAGCGGCTAACAGAGAGAGAGGTCTCACTCCGAGGGCGATATCCGACACCGAGAGGAAGAGCTTCTCTCAACAGGCTGGTGCTCAGAAGAGATATAACATTTATAATGAATCTGAACTACATTATTATTATTACTTATTATTCTAATTATAATATTAATAATATCTTTAACTGTTTGTACAAAGGCAGTGAGCACACACACACACACACACACACACACACACACACACACACACACACACACACACACACACACACACACACACACACACACACACACACACACACACACACACACACAGACACACACACACACAGACACACACACAGCACACACACACACACACACACACACACACACACACAGACACACACACACACAGACACACACACAACACACACACACACACACACACACACACACACACACACACACACACACACACACACACACACACACACACACACACACACACACACACACACACACACACACACACACACACACACACACACACACACACACACACACACACACTGTATTACAGGGCTATAATGTCATTTATATAATAATAATAATATATAACGTACATATTAAGAACATGTAGTCAGTAATGTGTTATCAGTCCACAGAAATGTCTCAAACACATTTTATCTCGGTGCCATATTGATTCAGAGTCTCTTCTAATGAATGTGGAAGTTTCCCAATAATTAGTTTAATTAATTAACTGTACAATTAGTTACCTTGAAAACATACAAAGAAGTCTTGTTGTTGTCTTCCTTCCTATATAATATTGAACATCAGTAAATGTGTCACAACATAATTACACACAAACTGAACATAACTGTATTTTCTCTCCTCTTTGAACTAGTTTTTCCTTTTAAATGAACTTTATTGTGAAACTATATCTGCCCTGTAGTCTGTAATCTGACCAGGGTTTCAATGTTTATACAGATATCATTTGGATCTTTTTACTCTTCAATAACTCGAAGAAACCTGAAAACAGAGGATTCAGTTTTCTACCAGTAACCATGGTAACGGTATGGTGACGGTTTGGTAACGGTATGGTGACGGTATGGTGACGGTTTGGTGAAACAGTCTGATTGAATGTCAGCTGACAGTCTATCCTGTAACTTCCGGCGGTGTCTGTTAACCGCAGAGTGACTCATCCGGATCACACACGATCTCTGACGCTGCTCAGCTGTTGGCAGCGCGAGGCTCCGTTTCCGCTTCCGCGTTCAGTCACGTGCTGCTCGCAGCTCCACAGGTGGAGCAGAGTGAACTTTCAGCAGAAGAAGAAGAGTTTAATGGTCGCACTGATCAGCTGACGTCGGTCACAGAGTCTGAGGTCACTGCGAGGGCTGCGTCACTGACCTCTGACCTTTGACCTCTCTCTCTTCTGTCTGTGTGTGTGTGTGTAGGAGCTTTGTGCAGATTGAAGCAGAGCTGCAACTATTGATTATTGTCATTATCGATCAGACCGATCAGCTGATTGTGTGGATTCATTGATTAATGTTCAAACTGTCATTTAATTTCATTGAAATGTTTAATAATCAGATTACTGACAGATTATTAAAATAAATTCATCTAAAATACCTTTAATGATTAATCTGTTTATTTTTATTAAAGCTCGAAAACGACACAAAATTATTGAATAAAGTTTTATTGTCAACAATCAGGTGGAAATTCATCCAGATACAAAAGATTAAAGAACCAAATATATATTTAAAAAAAGAGATTTAATGATTGAATTTATCTGCTACGTGATTTTATGACATCATGTGGCAGATAAATGTTCTGAGGAATAAATATGGATATATATAATATATATATATATTAGATTTATATATATATTTATATGTTTTATGATATTTTGGTGCTTAACAATATAAAGAATAAAGGTTCCACAAATGTCAAGAAACAAATATTAACAATAAAATATATAAATATAATGTAAAATATTGACTAAAGCAGAAGTTTTATATTATTCAGTTTATGACAGAAACAGAAAAACAACCTCTGAATATATTTTATTACTTTAATTAATTAATTATAAAATTACCACAAAAGAATGAAAATACCACAAACTTTACACTTTAAACTCTTTACCTCCAACAGCTCAACTGTGGATGGCACATAATAATAATAATAATAATAATAATAAACTTTATTTATAACCAGAGTTACAAGGTGCTGTACAGTGCAAACATTATAAAAACAATATAAAACAACAATAAAATATAAAACAATAAAGTACAAACAGTCAATAAGAGTAGAAACGTTGGTTAGACAGAACCACGGTTCCAATAATCACGAATCAGAGCTGATCTGGTGGAAAAGGTCCAGTGATGGTTCCTGAGGGTCTGACAAGCTGCTTCCTGTTGATCACTTTATTGATCACTTTATTGATCACTCTATTGATCACTTTATTTAACTGTGTGATAAAAGAACAACAACATAAACACAAACAAATAAATAAGAAGATAAACATTTTAAAGGTGAATAAATAAAATCAGGCGGGTGAGTCAAAGAGCAACCTGAGTCGTACGGAGGTTCACTGATAACCTGCAGCGACCCCGTGACCTCTCTGTGACCTCTGGTGACATCAGATGACCTGTCACACACCTGGCAGGTGGTGTCAGATGTTTCCTCTGATAGAAACTTTAGTTCAGCCCTCAAAGGGAATTCCTCTCAGACTGTTTTCAGTAGTTTTATGTGTTGATCAAATTCTCCTTAAATAAAATATTAAACAGTGAAAATGTTTCAGACCCTCAGACAGGAGCCCAGTGCATTATGGGATGTCCAGCGGTCTCGGCCTTTAGCAGCCTAACTAACACCTGTTCACACAGACAGGTGCATTCTGGGATCCGCAGTATTAATCACTCTGCTACCAGATGGAATACTTCACTCGCTATGCTAACATGCTAGGAAACACAGAGGTGGAGGTGGCGTGGTCCGACACAGCGGCTGCAGAGCGGCTGCAGAGCGGCTGATCGTTCCAGAGGACAAACCAACAAATAAATAATAAATAATAAATAATAAATAATAAAATATCTGTTTATGACCCCAGTGGCAGAAACTACAGACTGCACCTTTAAAAACGATTTATTATTTTAGATTATGGACAGAAAGTGTTTCTGTGTGTGTGTGTGTGTGTGTGTGTGTGTGTGTGTGTGTGTGTGTGTGTGTGTGTGTGTGTGTGTGTGTGTGTGTGTGTGTGTGTAAAGAGCTCTGCAGAGTGGAAAATGATGGCTTCTGAAGAGGCTGTTGTTGGACGTCAACAGGAAACACTAACTTAATGCATTAAGACCCCTTAGTGATGTGTGTGTGTGTGGCATTAGAGACCCACTTGACAGTGTGTTTGTGTGTCTCTCTCTCTCTTGTGTGTGTGTGTGTGTGTGTGTGTGTGTGTGTGTGTGTGTGTGTGTGTGTGTGTGTGTGTGTGTGTGTGTGTGTGTGTGTGTGTGTGTGTGTGTGTGTGTGTGTGTGTGTGTGTGTGTGAGTGTGTGTGTCTCTCTCTCTCTGTGTGTGTGTGTGTGTGTCTCTCTCTCTCTGTGTGTGTGTGTGTGTGTCTCTCTCTCTGTGTGTGTGTGTGTGTGTGTGTGTGTGTGTGTTCAGTGTAAATCTGAAACGTTAAAAAAATAAATTTATTTAAACTCTGGTTTTATTCTTGTTGTTGTTATTTACATGTCACATGGTCTCAGTGTCTCACACATAGAAGGTTCTTTAGGTTCTGTGAGGTCTATAAACACAGTCCTTCAGAGACCACTACTACCTCCAGTGGACCAGAACCCACAGAACCTCCTCAACAACCACTAGAACCTCTTAATGTCTCCCTACAACCTCTCCAGTGGACCAGGACCCACAGAACCTCCTCAACAACCACTAGAACCTCTTAATGTCTCCCTACAACCTCTCCAGTGGACCAGAACCACAATGTTGTTCTCCACGACCTTCTGATGACCCCCAGAAATGATCTTGCTGGTGGAGAACCACTGCTTTATGGAACGGATCAGTAGAACCACCTAAGGGACACCTCAGACCCCCTCAGTGACCACAGAACCTCAGACCCCCTCAGTGACCACAGAACCTCAGACCGCCTCAGTGACCACAGAACCTCAGACCCCCTCAGTGACCACAGAACCTCAGACCGCCTGGTGACCAAGAACCTCAGACCCCTCAGTGACCACAGACCTCAGACCGCCTCAGTGAACACGAACCTCAGACCGCCTCAGTGACCCAGAACCTCAGACCCCCTCAGTGACCACAGAACCTCAGACCGCCTCAGTGAACACAGAACCTCAGACCCCCTCAGTGACCACAGAACCTCAGACCCCCTCAGTGACCACAGAACCTCAGACCCCCTCAGTGACCACAGTTAGTGAGTTCTAGAGAATAAACCACAATCATTCTTTAAATCAGAGTAGATTGTTAGAAAGAAATTATCCACATGATCAGAGGACTCACACACTCACACACACACACACACACACACACACACACACACACACACACACACACACACACACACACACACACACACACACACACACACACACACACACACACACACACACACACACACACACACACACACACACACACACACACACATGCTTTCAGTTCATGGACCATTTCACTTTAATACTCGTTTCTCTTTATCTTTAACCCCAGAACCCCCCCGCCGCCCGCTGAGCTCTGCAATCAGAAGCATCGACACAGAGACTGAACTGCAGACAGACAGACAGACAGACAGACAGACAGACAGGCAGACAGACAGGCGCTGGTAGAGGTCTGATCCGGTCTCTCAGAGTCTGAATTAAAGAGAAATATGAGCTCAGTTTGTTCACATCATCCCTCGTTAACATTAAAGAACTGTAATATCTGAGCTGCTGCAGCCTGAGGAACACACAGTGAAACACTGCTTCTTCTTCTTCTTGTTTGTTTGTTTGTTTGTTTGTTAAAGCCATATTCGTGTTACAATACCTTATGGGGGT